AGTATTTCACGATCTTCTCCTAAGCCTAAGTATTTCACGATCTTTTCCCCAACCTAATAAAGTATTTCACGAAATTTTACTAAACCTAAATAAGTAGTTATATTACGTAAATTGTTTCCTGGAAGTTTATTTTGAAAAGACTGTTTCTGGACTTTCGTAGGAAAACGCATGAAAATGTAGTAACTTTTTTTTGTAAGATATCATAAGAACTGTCGTAAAAGGATACGTTACTGATACAGAGTAAAAAGATTCATGTCCCCACAACATGAGTAATACAGGCACACACACACACACACGCACACACACACACACACACACACACACACACACACACACACACACACACACACACACACACACACACACACACACACACACACACACACACACACACACACACACACACACACACACACACACACACACACACACACACACTCACACAGACTTTATAGTGCAGTGAAGTGCTCTATATTTTTTAAGTGGAATTGCTGAAGTCATTGAGTCTCATGATCCCGTTCACGCATGAGTAAACAATCACACGCACACTCCTCTTCAAGGTTAGACAAGAAAAGTGAGCTGAGTTAGGATTTAACAGTGAAGGTCCACACACACACACACACACACACACACACACACACACACACACACACACACACACACACACAGGTGTCTGGTTGTGGTCTACCTGTTTGATCCTCTGCAGCAGGGGGGGCAGCCAGTCCTTGTTGACCTCACAGTGGCTGTCCAGGAAGGTGAGGACCCCGGCCCTCGCAGCATCGGCCCCGCGCACTCTGGACCGGATCAGACCTGACGCACAAACAGGAACACAAACGGCGAGTTTCAGTCGCTGTGACCTCAACAACTTATAAAGATTTCTCATTTTAGAAGAGACTCAATAAAGACGTCTCATGGTAGAGTCACACTGGCTGAAAACAATCTCATTCCAGCGTAATTGAGAGCTGTATGACTTAGTGTGTGTGGAGAATGAGAGGCTCTGTGTTTGCTTCCGGCCTCAGACGCCTACCGTAAATAAAGTGGGCACAAGTCGTCAAACTATCGGAGTTTACGTTTCATGAATTACCTCGACTGAAGTTACAAATAAATACCAGAGCAGAAGAGAATAAAGCTGCTGCAGTGTTTATAGATATTTATGTGCATGTTGTACTGGTTTTATAATAATAATAACAACACGTATTATTATTATTGTTATTATTATTCAGTGGGTTTCATTCCCCATCTTCAGTAGTAGTAGTGGTTGTATTGGTATTAGTATTAGTATTATTATTGTTCTTGTTGTTATTAATATTATATTATATACTGTATAATATGCAGAGTATTTTAATGGTCATTGCATTGTTTAAAGTCTACAAAGGAACCATAGCTGACAAATGATAGTAGCAGAGTAAAGAAGCAGAAACTACCTCAGAATCATACCTTAGTACTTGGGTAAATGTACTTAGTTACTTCCCACCACTGCACGCAGCAGGTTTTGTGTCGGCTCTTCACGTCCAACACACTACACATGATAACATCAGACCACGCAGCGCACACACACACACACACACACACACACACACACACACACACACACAC